ACCCCTCAAAAGGCCTGGAAACCTCCCAGCCCAAAGGCCTCTACCGTCTTGAGAAACACTGTCCGAGTGTAGTTATGGGTGTGCCTGCTTCTGCTCTTCCCTCTGCATCGGTGCTTTGCAAAGGGTAGCTCTTGCCCACTGATGACCCAGAGATGGTTCTAGGGTATGCATGGATGACCTTCCCTCCTCAGTGACTGACTGGCAGTGCTGTTTTCCCCTGCTAACCTCTAAAGGACACTGCCCACTGCCTGGTCCTGAGGAGATGTTGGCCTGTGCCTTGTTCTCCCTACCCGATCCTCCTTCCCCTCAGCCATCGCTTTTGCAGTCCCTCAGCTTCTCTTCCCTTAATGCTGTTAGCACCCCTCCTGGGCTTCTCTTCACTTTGCCCTCCCTTTCAGCAACCCCTTCCCAAACCACTGGATCCCCAAACCTTATTCTGGCTCCCCTCTACCCGGAGTTCCTCTCCTCAAATCTGTCAAACACCCCAGGTCTGGCTGCCCCTGCCCTATTCCCCCCATCTTCCTGCCCTCTACTCTCTGCCCCTGGGGACTTGGGCAGAGGACAGCTCTTTTCTCTACCTTTCACAGATGTCTTTTTTTCCCCATTTATATGCTAGTTTCTTAGAAAAGTAAATGTATAAAAGTTAAAAAGTGTCACTTAACACTACAGGGGAAGTCAGCACAACTGGACTAAACCAAAGCTAAGAAGTTTCCTGAATACAATCAAACACTGTGAGGGACAGAGTAGCAGGAGTAGGGGTCTGGGGACCATGCTTTCAGGGGACATCTAGATCAACTGGCATAACAAAGCTTATTAAGGAAATGTTCTGCATCCTACTTTGGTGAGTGGCATCTGGGGTCTTAAAAGCTTGCAAGTGGTCATCTAAGATGCATCAATTTGTCCCAACCACCTGGAATAAAGGAGAATGAAGAACACCAAAGACACAAGGAAAGTAGTAGCCCAAGAAACAAAAGGGCCACATAAACCAGAGACTTCATCAGCCTGAGACCAGAAGAACTAGATGGTGCCTGGCTGCCACCAATGACCTCCCTGACAGGAAACACAACCGAGAGTCCCTGATGGAGCAGGAGAAAAATGGGGTGCAGAACTCAAATTCTAATAAGAAGACCTGACTTAATGGCCTGACTGAGACTGGAGGAACAGCGGAAAGCATGGCCCCTGGATTCTCTATCAGCTCAGAACTAAAACAATTTCCAAGGCCGACTCTTCAGACCGGGATTGGACTGGACTGTGGGACATAAGGTGATACTCATGAGGAGTGTGCCTCTTAGCTCAAGTAGATACAAGAGACTAAACGGGCAGCTTCTGTCTGGAGGTGAGATGGGAAGGTAGAGAGGGTTAGGAGCTGGTTGAATGGACACGGAGAATTAGGGGTGGAAAGGAGGAGTGTGCTGTCACAGTATGGGGAGAACAATTAGAGTCATATGACAATGTATGTATAAATTTTTGTATGGGAAAAATTTTTTAAAAAGTTAAAAAGTGTCACTTAAATAAAACTATTGAGTAAATAATAAACAGTACAGGTGGTACTTGGATATAAAACACAATCTCAATAAGCTCTTCATCTTCAAGGACTGTGTCTCAGTCAGCCTGGTATTGCTCAGTGCTTGGCACCAAAAGTTGCTTACTTGATGTTGACTATAAAATAACTTGTCTAAAATCCCATACTCAGAAAGGGAAGGATAACATATATGAAACCTCCATAGCAGTGTAGGGAGTAGGAGAGTAAAACTTAAATGGAACTCAGTCAGCAAAAAGTGAAGGGATGAAATAAGCAGTGACTCTCAAACTGGGACCTCCGTGGGATGCTATATTTTTCTTTTGAGGCTGATAGTCTGTTGTGGGAGACTGGAGAGTCACAGGCATACGATTAGCAAGGGGAGGAATTTGGAGACAAAACAATTTCTAAAATTAAAAATTAAAAAATCTTTGCAAGACTTAAAAGCTTGTTTTGGCTTTGCTGGAGTTGCTCTGGAAGCCTTTCAGGGCTTTCTTTTTCTGTTGGAATAGGAGAAGGGAGGAGACAGTGAGGACAGGGCCTGGGCCCCAGCTCCTCCAATCCCCCCTCCTGAGCAGAATGAAGTCTTATTACATTCTTGGGCATTGGCTGCATTATTGTGTCTCAGGAAAAGAAAGCTTTCAGTCAATGAGACAGAGGCATAATATGCTGACCACACTTTCTAATTTTAATCTGGATTTCTAGACTAACAGCTATGTTTCTGAGAAAAACATGTTTTTCCTCGGTGGTCAAAACCAGAATGTGAAACGATATGCCCTGAGGGGCCTTAACCAAGTGACCATCTGTTGTTGTTAGGTGGCATCAAGTCAATTCTGACTTATAGCAACCCTATGTACAACAGAATGAAACACTGCCCAGTCCTGCGCCATTCTCACAATCCTTGTCATGCCTGAGCCCATTGTTGCAGCCACTGTGTCAATCCATCTTGTTGAGGGTCTCTTTTTCAATGACCCTGTACTTTACCAAGCATGATGTCCTTTTCTACGGACTGGTCCCTCCTAATAACATGTCCAAAGTATGTGAGAGTATGTCCTTGCTTCTAAGGAGCATTCTGTCTGTACTTCCTCCAAGACAGATTTGTTCTTTCTTTTGGCAGTCCATTGTATATTCAATATTCTTCACCAACACAATAATTCAAAGGTATTGATTCTTCTTTGGTCTTCCTTATTCATTGTCCAGCTTTTGCATGCATATGAGGTGACTGAAAACACTCTGGCTTGGGTCAGGAGCACTTCAGTCCTCAAAGTGACATCCTTGCTTTTTAACACTTTGAAGAGGTCTTTTGCAGCAGATTTGCTGAATGCAATACATCTTTGATTCTTGACTGTTGCCTCCATGGGTGTTGACTGTGGATCCAAGTAAAATGAAATCCTTGACAACTTCAATCTTTTCTCTGTTTATCACGATGTTGCTTATTGGCCCAGTTGTAAGGATTTTTGTTTTATGTTGAAGTGTAATTCATACTGAAGGCTGTAGTCTCTGATCCTCATCAGTAAGTGCCTCAAGTCTTCTCCAATTTCAGCAAGCAAGGTTGTGTCATCTGCATACTGCAGATTTTTAATGAGTTTTCTTCCAGTCCTGATGCCCCATTTTACTTCATATAGTCCAGCTTCTTGGATTATTTGCTCAGCATACAGATTGAATAAGTATGGTGAAAGGATACAACCCTGATGCACAACTTCCCTGATTTTAAACCACACCATATCCCCTTGTTCTGTTTGAACAACTGCCTCTTGGTCTATGTGCAGGTTCCACATGAACACAATTAAGTGTTCTGAAATTCCCATTCTTCATAATGTTATTCATAAATTGTTTTGATACAGAAAGTCAAATGCCTTTGTATAGCCGATAAAACACAGGTAAATATCTTTCTGGTATTCTCTGCTTTCAGCCAGGATCCATCTGACATCAGCAATGATATCTCATTCCACTTTCTCATCTGAAACCGGCTTGAATTTCTGGCGGTTTCCTGTTGATGTACTGCTGCAACCGCTTTAGAATGATCTTCAGCAAAATTTTACTTGTGTGTGATATTAATGATATTGTTCAATAATTTCCACATTCGGTTGGATCACCTTTCTTTGGAATGGGCACAAATATGGATCTCTTCCAGTTGGCCAAGTAGCTATCTTCCAATTTTCTTGGCATAGATGAGTGAGCACTTCCAGCACTGCATCTGTTTGTTGAAACATCTCAGTTGGTGTATTCTGTCAGTTCCTGGAGCCTTGTTTTTCACCAATGCCTTCAGTGCAACTTGGACTTCTTCCTTCAATGCCATCAGTTCTTGATCATATGCTACCTCCTGAAATGGTTGAACATCAACAAATTCTTTTTAGTACAGTGACTCTGTATTCCTTTCATCTTTTGATGCTTCCTGCATTGTTTATTATTTTCCCTGTAGAATAATTCAAAAGAAGTGACCATCTGCACCCCTCAAAACGCACGTACTCAGGAAGAGTGCTGTCTGGGTGCTGCTGCCAACAAGATATTTTTGCAAGACAAAGAAAATACATGTAAGCATCTTGTGACCATGATCTAAGCATCCTATGAAACTATCTGTAATCACTAACTATACTATTAATAATCAGTAACCCATCACAGTGTGATTATCGTAATATTAACTGATCTTCCTGAAATTGCCCTCCCTGTGAGCCCTGGTGGCGCGGTGGTTAAGAGCTCGGCTGCTAACCAAAAGGTCGGCAGTTCAAATCCACCAGCCTCTCCTTGGAAACCTTATGTAGCAGTTCTACTCTGTCCTATAGCATCGCTATGAGTCAGAACCGACTCCATGGCCAAGGGTTTGGTATAGTTTGGTTCCTTTTTATACCCCATAAGAATTCTTGTATAACAAAACTGCCCCGGGACTACCTGGCTCCATTTTCAATGGGCTACTAGTTCCCCAACTGCAATTGTTTTAAACCCCTAATAAATCTCTCTGTTTTACACTGAAACAGCATTCAAGTTTTTCTCTACAACACTTGCTTTGAGGTTTATACGGGAAAAGTTGCCAGAGAGCAGTCCAGTTATCAGCCTCAGCCCCAATCCTCTCAGGTACAGCTCAGGGAGCACCAGAATCTAGTTGGGTCTAGACCGAGAAGACACCAGGAGGCAGCAGCCCACAGCGAAACAGCGTGCCGCGCACTGAGCAGAGTACTGCAGGGACAGAGGCCCTGCTTCCCAGGCTCCCGCACTAGCGGTTAGGCGGTATTGGTTGGAGGCTCGGGAGCTTATCCAACTAGAGGAGGCAACTGCTGGAGTCTCAGATACCGTCCCACCTCAGAGACCCGCGCAGGGCAACCAAAGTCCAACCTCCACCAAGGCGCGGACTGCCCGGGAGCGATCCTTACGGCGCCTCTCGGCCAAGAAGCTGGGGGCGGGGCCCGTGCTGTGACACCGCCCCTCGCCCAGCCCCGCGCGCGTTGCCAGGGTGATCAGGTGACTCGTGGCTCGCGCGGCGCTTGGGGCGGCATTGACGTCAGGCGTGCGGCTGCTACTCAGTTGCTCCGAAACAGGTGCTGCGAGTCCCGAGCGGTCCCGAACCGTCCAGTCCACACCGAACTAGTGTCCAGCTCGTTCGTGGGGAGGAGAGGTGAGGCGCGGCGGACCCCGGCCCGGTCAAGCTGGGATCAGGGAGGGGACGAGCCGCGGGCAGGGGCCGTCCTGTGCTGTGCGCACAGCGGAGCTCCCCTGAAGGCTCCCCGACAGAGGGCAACGGGGCCAGATGGGGGAGGGGCCGGGAGCCGAGGGAGCGGCTGCGCCTGTTGGATGCCCACCCGGGCGCCCCACGGCTATTTCTCGGACTTCGTCGCTGCGCCGCTGGCAGAGGCTGAAGGGGGTCCCGCGTCACCCGCCTGGTCTCTCGGCAATGGTCGAAGCGGCTCCAGGGCTACTCGTTTCTGCGAGTCTCGCCTGTCAGGGAGTCGGCGGGCTCCGAGCCCGGCTCGCCACACCCGGTCTCGAGGGACGTCTGCGGGAGGCTTCTGGTTTTCTTCATCTTGGGCTTCCGATTTCTGAGGCGCTGCCTACTACGTGCTCTGTGCAGGGTCTTGCTGGGGCGTGAGGCCCGTGCGGAGCCCCTGGGTGGGAGCAGACGGCGGAGACGGACTGGAAGTGGGGAACGCAAAGCCGGGCGCTCAGTGACTCCGGGCTTTCATTGAAGGTGCTGCAGTGGGGAAAGGAATCCCGCCTGCTGTTGAAAGCGGTGGATTGAGGATCTGAGTAGAGGTGAAATCTGAGCGGGGTCCTGAGGGATGGGGACTAATCTCTTGGTAGCGATGGGGTTAGAAGAGTAGGGTGAAGGGCAGAGGGGAACCCCAGGGAAGGAGCCCTTGCGCTGGAGGTAGAGGAAAAATGATTCGGTGACTGACTGGAACAAAAGTTTGGAAAATTGGGCTAGGGTCGGTTAGGAAAAACAGCGCTGTGGGAAGCCATCGAAGCGTCACCTTGATTCGGGTGGGGGGAACACGGGTGGAGGGACACTGAGGCTGGTATGATGGTCTCAGAGAGAGGTGAGGACGCCCGGAACTCTGGTCTGATGGGATTCCGGGAACCCTGCTTATGACGTATTTATAACAGACAGGGATGGGGACTCGGGCAACCAGGTGCTGTACACCCCTGCCATTGTTAGCAGATTAAAAAAAAACAAACTTTCTTAAGAGAGAAAAGAAGCACCCGAAGGCCACCCACTTTCTTGTAAACCTCATTTGACTGTATTTAATGACTAGCTAAGGATTTGCTCCCCTCACTATGCACAGAGATTGTAAGGTGCACAGCGCTTGCCCTTCAAGAGTTTCAACAGTATCTTACAAAAACAACTCATCCTCAGGGTGAAACCCAAACCTCTAGAGATTAGGAGATTTAATGGTAGGTTATTAAAGGAGAATCATGGCCTAAAACATGAATGTGGGGCATTGGGTAAGCATTTCATAAAGGGGCCCCATGTTCTTTGTTAATCCAAGAACAAAGGTCTCCAGCCCAGAGTTCTCCCTTACCTACCTGTTTCCCTTAGCTTGTGGACTTCTCAGTATAAGGCTGCTTAAGTGTTACTTGGCCATTTTGTCTTAATTTCCTGAGAAGGAAGAAGATATTTTGATTATATGAAGAGGAATGATTTGGTGATTTCAGAATTTTTCCCAGCCCTGAAGTTCACTGATGCTGTGACAAAAAAAAAAAGCACAGCTGCCCATTTTACATGGAAACTTAGAATCTTCTGTTTTCTGGAAGGAAGTGAAATGCTGAACTTTCTCACCTATTTGTTTTGTATTTATTTGACTGACTTCAGAAAACAGAATAGGACCTCCAGGGATTCTGTACAGTAAAAGGTAGTTTAGGGAGTTGCCAGGAACTTCAGAAGGTGGCCACAGCTGGTTTGTGTATGAAAGGAGAAACCAGTGCAGCACTCCAGGGAGGGCCAGTCCAGAGTGGTGGGACCTGAGGAGAGCCAACTTCCAGTCAGATTAATGAAGTCATTCTCTCTAAAAGACCCAAGATAGGTGACTTGAGCAATGTGTGTAAAAGGCCAGAGTAGTTTTTTTCACCCCTGTGTTCCTGTTCAGTGGTAGGGCTTATTACTACAGCAATTTTTAAGGGTCTTTGTAGGAACCCCTTAGTATTAAGAATCACTGGATATTAGATTTCTTGGCCACATTTTAAAAGTTGGTTAACTATTTTTTTAAAACCTCTGACAATATTTGAACGGGCTGAGTGATCATACTTCCTTTGGAAAGAAACAGTCTGCCCTCCCTCCCGTCTAAACACAGTAAATACAGTATGTGCTATCAGGGTAGATAAGTAGGCCAAGAGTTTTTGGAAATTTTCCACCATCCTTTCATTCACCCCTTCAACCCCTGAAAGTTTTCACATTGGTAGAGAACTTAAGACTTCTTGTCAGGAAAAAAAATGTTAGTGTGTTTCCCTAAACACAAACTAAGATAAACACTGGGCCTGGCCTTCGACAGAATACCCTCCCCCCTTAGCAGAACTGGGTAGGAGTAAGGAACAGGGCTAGGTTGTTGGCAGGAAACGCTACGGAGTCATTTTGAGCCCTGTGCCAGTGTTACCCAAGGCCCTGGGCAAGCCCCTCCTCTCCACATGGAAATATTCCTCGACTTTGAAAAGGGATAATGGTCAGTACCCCCTTCACAGAGGTATCAAGGAGAATTAATGAGAGGCTTATGTATTTCAGCTCCTCCAAAGTAGGATGAATGGTATATTTTGAGATGAAGTAAAATAAAAGAGATGAACATTCTAAATTTTAAAGTAAAACACCAATTCAAACTCTTAAGGCATTTTTGCTCTTTTTTTCTGGAGTATATGGGCTTGGTTACCGATCAGCCTATACTCAAGATCTAGAGGCCTAAGGCTAAGTGTATGTTTGTGTTTCATATGTAAATCTGCTCAGATTGCTCACCACCCTTTATTTCTTCTGATATTGTTAGTTGCCATCAAGTCAGCTCCAAGTATTAGCGATCTTATGTTGTCCAGTGCTGTGCTATCTTGATGATCTTTGATGTTTGAGCCCATTGTTGAGACTGTTGTGTCAGTTCAGCACATAGAGGGTTTCCCTCATTTTCTACTACTCTTACATACCTTTCAGTGTCTTCCTTTGCCTTGGTCATGTTGTGCTGACTTCCCCCATGTTGTGTATTGTCTTTCCCTTTACCAAAGTTAATACTTGTCTACTATCTAGTTAGTGATTGTGCCTCCCTCCCCCTCCCATCCCTGGTAACCATCAGAGAATGTTTCTTTCTGTGTGTAAACCTTTTCTTTTTATAATAGTAATCTCATACAATATTTGTCCTTTTGTGGTTGACTTATTTCACTCAGCTTAATGCCCTCCAGGTTCATCCATGTTGTGAGATGTTTCCTGGATTCATCGTTATTCTTTAATGTTGCATAGTATTCCATTGTGTGTATTTACTATAGTTTGTTTATCCATTCACCCACACATGGACACTTAGGTTGTTCCCATGTTTCTGCTATTGTGAATAATGCTGCAGTAAAGATGGATGTGCGTATGTCTATTTGTGTCACAGCTCTTATTTCTCTAGGATATATTCCTAGGAGTGGGATTGCTGGATCATATGGTATTTCTATTTCTAGCTTTTTAAGGAAGCTCCATACCATTTTGCATAGTGGTTGTACCATTTTACATTCCCACCAGCAGTGTATGAGAGTTACAACCTCCCCACAATCTCAGTAGCATTTGGTTTCTGTTTTATTGATCAGTGCTGTTATTACAAGGTGAGATGGTATCTCGTTGTACTTGTAATTTGCGTGTCTGTAATGGCTAATGATCACGAGCATCTCTTCATGTATTTTTTAGCCACCTTAATTTTTTTTTTTTTGCGTAGTGTCTGTTCATGTCTTTTGCCCATTTTTTAAATTGGATTGTTTGTCTTTTTGTTGTTGAGGTGTTGAAGTTTTCTATAAATTTTAGAGATAGTCCTTTGTTGGATATGTCATTGCCAAAAAATTTTCCCAGTCTGTGGGTTCTCTTTTTACTCCTTTGGCAAAGTGTTTTGATGTGCGTACATATTTAATTTTTAGGTGGCCTCAGTTGTCTAATGTTCTTCTACTCTTTGTACATTTTAAGTGATGCTTAGTAGTCTATTTATGCCATAAATTTGGGCCCCTAGGTGTGCCATTATTTTTTCTTCTATGATCTTTATAATTTTAGGTTGTACTCTTGAGTTAGTTTTTGCGTATGGTGTGAAGTAAGGATCCTGTTTCTTTTTTCTGCAAATGGGTATCCAGTTTTGCCAGCACCATTAATGAATTTCAACACTTTGTCAAAGATCAGCTGTCCATAGATGGATGGATTTACTTCTGGGTTCACAGTTCTGTTCCATTGGTCTATGTATCTGTCATTGTAGCAGTATCAGGCTGTTTTGACTACTGTGGCTGTAGAGTAGGTTCTGAGATGGAGAAATGTGAGGCCTCCTACTTTATTATTCTTCAGTAATGCTTTGCTTATCCAGGACCTCTTTCCTTTCAATATAAAGTTGGTGATTAATTTTTCCATCTTGTTAAAGAGTGTTGTTGGAATTTGGATTGGGCTTGCATTATATGTATAGATCACTTTGGGTAGTACTGACATTTTCACAATGTTAAGTCTTCCTATCTATGAACATGGTATGTTTTTTCATTTATGTAGGTCTCTGTTGGTTTCTTGCAGTAGAGTTTTTTAGTTTTCTTTGTGTAAGTCTTTTACATCCCTGGTTAGATTTACTCCTAAGTATTTTATCTTTTAGGGGGTATTGTTTTCTTGATTTTCTTTTGGGAGTTCTCATTGTTAGTGTAGAGGAATCCAACTGATTTTTGTATGCTGATCTTGTACCATGCCACTTTGCTAAGTCCTTCTGTTAGCTCCAGTAGCTTTCTTACAGAATCTCTTGGATTTTTTATGTATAGGATCATATCATCTGCAGATAAGGATAGTTTTACTTCTTCCTTACCAATTTGGATGCCTTTTATTTCTCTTTCTTGCCTTATTGGCTTTAGCTGGAACTTCCATTACAATACTGAATAAGAGTGTTGATAAAGGGCATCCTTGTGTGGTTCCAGTTCTCAGGGGGAATGCTTTCAGTCTCTCTCCATTGTTGGCTGTTGCTTTTGTATTTATGCCCTTAATTATGTTGAGAAATTTCCCTTCTATTCCTATTTTGCTGAGAGTTTTTATCAGGAATGGGTGCTGGATTTTATCAAATGCCTTTTCTGCATCAATTAATATGATCATGTGGTTCTTTTCCTTTGTTTTATTTATGTGGTGGATTATGTTGATTTTCTGATGTTGCACCATCCCTACATACCTGGTATAATCCCACTTAGTCATGATATATTATTTTTCTGATATGCTGTTGGAGTCTTTGGCTAGGATTTTCTTGAGGTTTTTTACATCTATATTCATGAGGGATATTGGTCTGATTTTCTTTTTTAGTGGTATCTTTGCCTGATTTTGATATCAGGGTTATACTGGCTTCGTAGAATGAATTCAGTATTCCATCTTTTTTTGTGTTCTGGAATAGTTTGAGTAGAATTAGTGTCAGCTCCTCTCTGAATGTTTGGTAGTATTCTCTAGTGAAGCCCTCTGGGCCAGGGCTTTCTTTTTCTTGGGAGTTTTTTTTTTTTTTTTTTATGACCTCTTCAATTTCTTCTTTTGTTATGGGTCTGTTCAAATTTTCCACCTCAGTTTGTGTTAGGTAGGTAGTGTGTTTCTAGAAATTTGTCCATTTCTTCTAGGTTTTCAGATTTGTTGGAGTATAGTTCTTCATAGTATTCTGTCACGATCCTTTGTATTTCAGTTGGCGGTTTCCCTCATTTTCACTGACCTAATTTATCAGACATGATGTCCTTTTTCTAGGGTTGGTCTTTCCTGATGATGTGTCCAAAGTAAGCAAGAAGTTGTGCCATCCTTGCTTCTAAGGACCTTTCTGTCTTTATTTCTTTGCTATGATCCTGGAAGCTATGCCACCAGTATTTCAGATACCAGCAGGGTCACCTATGGTGGATAGGTTTCAGCAGAGCTTCCAGATAAGACAGACTAGGAAGAAAGGCCTGGCCATCTACTTCTGAAAATTAGCCAATGAAAACCCTATTTCTTTTAGTCTTGGTTAACCTGGGCTTAGTCCCTGGGTGGTGCAAATAGTTAATGTGCTTGCCTGCTAACCTAAAGGTTAGAGGTTTATGTCCACCCAGAGGTGCTTCAGAAGAAAGTTCTGGTGACCTACTTCCAAAATATGAGCCACTGAAAATGCTATGGAGTATAGTTCCACTCTGACACACATGGCGTTGCCATAAATCAGACTTGAGGACAGTTGGTTTTTAAACGGACTTGGTGTTTTCAGAGTAAATCAGCGACAGAGCAGGCAGTGGGGCTGACAGCTTTTGACCCAGCATCCTTTCAACAGCAAGAATATTATAGGAAGGTATCTCCACCCTAACAGAAGTTAGTTATTAAATTCATTGGAGAAATAAGTGGGTAATAATTCTCACTAAATTGAAAGATCAGTGGAATAGTCATCTGTTTAAATTCCCCCATCCGGTGTTAGTCTGCCAGTCCTGCGGCTCAGTTGAGTAGAGATTCAGGTACTTGCTGATATACCCAGGGACTCTATGGAACTATGGCATTATCTCTTAGATTTCTGACATTAGTTGACCAGGCATAACTCTCTCACATATGGGAAATTCTGACA